CCACCTGCTCTTGCATGTACTCTCTTTCTCTCAAATATAAATAAAATTCTCTCTTTAATCTGAGTCATGATGTAGACCTCCTTGGGTTCATCTCTTTTGGAACTTTCTGTGTTTCCTGAACCTGGATGTCCGTTTCCTTCCTAAGGTTAGGGAAGTTTTCAGATATTTCTTCCAATAAGCTTTCTACCCTTTTCTCTCTCTTCTCCCTCTGGAAGCCCTATTATGGGAATATTTATTCACCGAGTGTTGTCTGAGAGATCCTTTAACCTATTCGCATTTTAAAAATTCATTTTTCTTTTTGTTGTTTAGCTTGGGTACTTTCCATTACCCTGTTTTCCATATTGCTGATTCATTCTTTTCTGTCTTCCGATCTATTGTTGATTCCATCTAGTGTGGTTTTTCATTTTGGTAATTATATTTTATTACCAACCAACTCCGATTGGTTCTTTTTTATATTTTCTATCTTTTTGCTGAAGTTCTCACTGAGTTCATCCAGTCTTCCCTCCAATGTAATGAGCATGTTTATTATCATTACTTTGATCATTTTATCAGATAGATTGGATATTCCCATTTTATTTAGTTTTTTTTTTCTAAGGTTTTGTCTTTTTTCTTTTATTTGGAGCATATTCCTCTGTCTTAATTTTCCTTGACTTTCTATGTTTTTTTTCTATGAATTAGGCAAAGCAAATACTTTTCCTAAACTTGAAGAAGTGTCCTTGTGTGTGTAATCATTCCCTGTGTAGACTTGGTGTGCCTGGTGAATTTCACTGGCTGACTCAAGCTGTTGCTGGATGCGCTGGAGGGTCTGGGACACTCACTGCTGGGGCTGCCCTGGTGGGATGACTGGAGCTAAAGTGAACATGGTTTGGGGGCAGTCCTGGGATTCTCTGCACAGATGGCATCTTGGTTGGACAGTCAAAGCTGAAGTCAGTGGAAGCTTGCATGCTCCTAGGATTCCCTGCACAGAGGGAACCCTGGCAGGATGGCTGACGCTGAAATGGGTACAAAGTTGGGGGGGGGGCTGGCTCTTTGTATAAAGGGCATTATAGTATGATGGCTGAAGTTGACATGGATGCAAGTTGGTGCATTCCACAGGTGGGGCACCTTGGCAAGTTGCTGGAGCCAATGCAGGTGTACACCTGGAGTGTTACAGGATGCTTTGTGCCTGTGCCACCTTGCCAGCCTTCTTTTATAATGAGTTTTAAATATTCTATTCTATCTCTATTGTCATATAAGCTATATATCTTTTTTTAACTTATTGCTCTAGAGTATATACCATGCATCTCTTAATTGTCATAGTCTACCTTCAAATACTATATTACTTCATAGTACACTTTTATTTCTTCCCTTCTATCATTTATCCTAGTATTCTTACATTTTACTTCTTCATATATCATGTACCCTATAGTATAGCATTATTATTTTCACTTTAAACTTATCATTTCACTTTAAATAAATTAAAATGTGAGGTGAATGAAAGGCTTTTTTATTCACCCACATGTTTTACTGTTTTGTATGCCGTTCATTCCTTGGAGTGGATCCAAGTCTTCAACTACTGTCATTTTCTTTTTGCTAGAAGAATTTCCTTTAAACATTTCTTGCAGTTCTCTTGGCATCAATTCAGGTCTTATTTGTGTTAAAAAGTGTTTATTTCACCTTGATTCCTGAGGAACATACTTGCTGACTAGAGAATTCTAAGTTGGTAGGATTTTTTTTTTTTTTAGCATTTTGGCAAAGTTGTTTCTTTTTTTCTTAAAGTTTTAATTTAAATTCCAGTAGGTTAACATACAGTGTAATATTAGTTTGAAGTGTACAATATAGTGATTCAGCAATTCTATACAACACCTGATGCTCATCACAGGTGAACTCCTTAATTCCTATTACCTATTCCCCCGGAACTCCCTTCTTGTAACTATCAGTTCTCTATAGGTAAAAGTATGATTTTTGGTTTGCCTCTCTCTCTTTTTCTTTTCCTTGTATTCTGCCTTATGTAGTTTATAGAGAGAAATCTGAAGTCAAGTTTATCTTTATTTCTTTAAACATGTTCTTCTACCCCCCGCCTCAGCTGTTTAAAATTTTTTTCTCTATTACTGGCTTTCAGCAATAGAACATTCCACAGTTGAGATTAATGCTGTTTTCCTTATGTTTATAACAGTTTATTATAAGTTTCATCAAATTCAGAGAATATTTGACCATTATTTCTTAAGATATTTTCTGTTTCTTATTCTTTCTATCATATTTTCCTGGAACTCCAATTGAAAGTACATTAGATCGTTGGTATTATTCAATAGATCATTAATACTCTATATATTTTTTCCCTGGTCTTCTCTTTCTGTTTCATTTTGTATAGTTGCCATTTTTTGTGTCTTCAAATTTAGTGATCTTCTGACATACCTAATATGCTGTTAATCACATTCAGCGGAGTTTTTACTTCAGTCATTATAATTTCATCTTCAAGTAGTCCATTTAGTTCGTTTGAACGTATTTTACTTTTCTTCTTTTTTCCCCTTTAAATCCTTCAGCCTATTTAGTGCATTTATAGTATCTGTTTCAATGTCCTTGTTTGCTAATTTCATTATGTTTCACACATTTGATTCTGTGTTGACTACACAGAATCAGTTTATGTTTACTATTTCAAATTTATTTTGTGTTTTGTACTTTCTACGTGTCATGATTCTTTTATGTTAATTATTTCTTTCCTTTATCTTATCTATGTTTGTTTTCTTTATGCACTTTCTACCACCACTATTTATTGGTTTGGAAGCTATACATTCTCTATCTGTTCTTTTAGTAGTTAAACTTATAATATGCATATTTAACAAAACCTATTGTTAGTATTTCCAGCCCTTCTCCTAAACAATATGTGGTCCTAGGTGTATTTGAATACTTAACACAACATTCTGCTTACTAGTAAGTGTCCTTTCTTATTCGGTCTCTCCCCCCTTACACACACACACGCACACATACCCCGATCTTTTATAATATGGTTGTATGCTATTTTAGATCCATATTGGTTTTTTATATCCTTAAAAATAAATCACTACTTTCATGTAAAAATAAATAAATAAATAAATCACCACTCTTTGTTCTTATTCTTTCAATCAGTGCTTATTTATATCCACTTATATGTTTACAGAATTTTTCAACATTGCTTTTTGTGTTGTTTCTTCCTATGAAGTTTAATTTCCTTTCTTGAAACTACTTCCTTTCTTTGACTGGTGAGTTAATTTTCTCAGTCTTTTCCTAAAATGGACTTATTTTACCCTCATTCTTCTGTATTAGTTTAGCTGAGTATAGAATTCTAGGTTGACAGTTATTTTCCTTTGATAACTTTAAAAATAACTATATTTGTTGGTAAGTGTATTCTCATTCTAACTGATTTTCTTTGTAGGTATCTTTTGTCATTGTTTTCTTTTAAGATATTCTTTTTCTCTTTTTAGTTTAACTATTATGTGTACGTATGGTTTGAGGGGGTCTTTGGTTTTGTAGTTTTTCAGAGTATTCATGCCTTTTAATAGTTCTAAAAGAATTCTCAGATGTTATTTATTTGAACATTATTGCCTTTATATTTGCTGTACTGTCTCCTTCAATTTTTATAATATGCTTGTTGGATCTCCTAGTCCAAATTTTTATTAATCTTTATTATCACAGTTTCTATATGTTTATCTCTCTGTGCTGTGCTCTGTGCTATTAGTATATTCTTCCCTCTTTAGCTGTACTTGTCTGTTTTTTGATACATTCATTATGTTTTTCATTTTCTTGACTACTTTTCAGCTGCATCTCCTATCACTCTTCTCTGTGGTTTCTGAGCTCCAGCCATACTAGTCTTCTCTCTGTTGTTGGAGCATGTCATTTTCCCTCCCTCCACACACTCCCTTTGGGACCTTTACATTTAGCATTCCTTCAGTTCAAAAAGCTCCCTTCCCCAACACACATTGTATATATATTCATCATTCAGATCTTAGCTCATGTGTCATTTATCAGGAAACCCTTTCCTGACTTCTCTGATCCTCTTAGTTTAGGTCAATTTCCTTTGTCATACAGCTTTCTTCTCCAGACATAGTTACTTAATAGGTATTTATATAGTCATTTGTGTGATTATTTGATTGATGCCTGGATTGCCCATAGTCTGGAGCCTGTGTTAACAGCTCAGAGCCTGGAGTCTGCCTCTGATTCTGTATCTCCCTCTCTCTCTCTTCCCCTGCCCCACTCATGCTCTCTCTCTCTCTCTCAAAAATAAAAATAAACATTAAAAAAAGAATATTTTCATATTGCAGTTTTAAAATATGCTTATTTCCCATAATGTGGATGTATTTTTTTATTTGAGAGATATAGAGCACAAATGGAGGAGAGAGGCAGAGAGAGAGAATTTTAAGCAGGCACCACACTCAGTGTGGAGCTAGATGCAGGGCTCAATCCCATGACCCTGGGCCAAAATCAAGAGTTGGACACTCAACCAAATGAATCACCCAGGTGCCCCAATGTGGCTATATTCTCAATTTATACTTGCCCAGAGTCTTTTTCTCTCAGAGTTATTAGTAAGTACTAGAGAGATATCAGTCCTCATTTTATGATATGATCTAGATAAACATTCCATCCAACAATTGGAAAATGGGAATTGTGAGTGAAACAGTGGTGGCTAATGTTTTGTCTTTAACAACAATAATATTTATCTTATAGAATAATTGAAACTATAGCAAAAATAGAACTACAGACCAAACATGTATGTATCATAACTAGCTTTGGGGTTGAGACTTTTAAGTCATTAAAAATAATGACCAGTTGACCACGTTACCTCGTGGATTTTATGTATAGACATTTAAAAGCTGTATTTATCTTTCCCAGTGTGTTTTGTATATACTATTATTATCACCTATATTGTATAAATTTCCTTATAATCTAAGTGTACTATCAAAAGATTTCCCCCATTTTGTTTTCCATGTTGCTTTTTTTTCAAGTTAAAAAAAAATATACATATAATAATTTTGTCCTTACAGCACTTAAATGCAGAAAGGTCTTATAAATCCCAGATTTCTACCTTACACAAGTCTCTTGTAAAGATGGAAGAGGAACTTCAGAAGGTTCAGTTTGAAAAAGTATCTGCCCTTGCAGATTTATCTTCCACAAGGGAACTTTGTATTAAACTCGACTCAAGCAAAGAACTTCTGAATCGACAGCTGATTGCTAAAGATCAAGAAATAGAAATGGTATGTAATACATTTTTAAGTGGTTCTTCTATATCATTGCTACTATAAAATTACAATAATTTTAGAAAAACAAATTGTTTTTATAAAATATTACATCAAGCCATGTCTATCAAATTTAGATTTTATTTCTAAAGTCCAAGAGATTAATTTCTGACAGTTGTATTCCAACAATTCAGGAAGTAACAGAATCTTTTCCATTGAGTATGCATCTACTTTTAGCCAGAAGAATTATAAAACACATTGACCTAGAAATCAGCAAAAAACTATGAGGTTGGGATTTATTCAGCTAAATTATATTCTTTTAAGCTAAATTTATTTAAGCTGGGTTCTTTTAAGCTGTAATTCAGTTGATTGTATCCATGGACATTGTGTTTGCCCCCATGAATATAAGATTCAAAACATGGATAGATCCAGAGAATATTATGCTAAGTGAAAACATCAGACAAAGACAGATGCCATATTATTTCACTTACATGTGGAATCTATAAACAAAATAAATGAATCATCTGACCCATAAATACATAAAATAAAATGATGGCTGCCAGAGGGGAGGCGTGGGGTGAAGGGCAAAATGGGTGAAGGAAAGTAGGAGATACAGGCTTCCAGTTATGGCTTAATAAGTCATGTGGATAAAAGGTATAGCATAGGGAGTATAGTCAATAGTATTGTAATAGTAATCATGATGATAAATGGTAACTGCACTTATGGTGAGCATTGCCTAACATATAGAGTTATTGAACCACTATGTTGTACTCCTGAAACTAATATAACATTATGTGTCATCTATACTCAAAAAAAGAAAAAGAAGAAAAGAACTAAAGAAAAGGAAAAGAGAGACAGGTCTTTGCTTCCAAGGACCTCCCAGTATTGATAAACAAATTATTTGCTTGAATGTTATACTAGTAAAAACTGTTCAATATTTTTGAAGAGGAATTCCTAATTGGCCTACGGGTGTGAGGCAGGCATTCACAAAGATGTGCTACTGAGCCCAGAAGGGATAAAGCACCCATTCAGAGGGAGCAGCAACAAAGACAACAGTGTGGAGTTATAAATGAGTTCTAGGGGCACCTGGGTTGCTCAGTTGGTTAAGTGTCTGACTCTTGATTTCAGCTCAGGTCATCATCTCACAGCTTTGTGGGTTTGAGCCCTGCATTGGGCTCTATGCTGACAGTGTGGAAACTGCTTGGGACTCTCTCTCTCTCTGTCTCTCTCCCTCTCTCTCTCCCTGCCTCTCCCCCACTTGCGCTGTCTCTGTCTCTCTCAAAATAAATAAATAAAGTTTAAAAAAAAAAGTGAATTCTTGAGTGAATAGTAAATGGTTTGCAATGGCCATTGTAGCATTCACAGTTGAAAGTGACTGGAGATGTATCTGAAGAGATAGTCGGAGCCCAGATCCTAAGAGGATATGTATACAAGTTGTATAATGTAATTGAATTTACCCAAAGATTACAAAAATACTAATTCAAAAGGATACATGCATCCCAATGTTTATAGCAGCATTATTTACAATAGCCAAATTTTGGAAACAGCCCAAGTGTCCACTGACTGAAGAATGGATAAAGATGTGGTATATTTACACAAAGGAATATTACTCAGCCATGAAGAAGAACGAAATCTTGCCATTTGCAGTGACATGGATGGAGCTAGAGAGTATTATACTAAGTGAAATGTCAGTAAGAAAAAGACAAATACCATATTATTTCACTTTCATGTGGAATTTAAGAAGCAAATAAGCAAAGGGAAAAAAGAGACAAACCAAGAAAAAACAGACTCTAAACTATAGAGAACAAACTGATGGTTACCCGAGAAGAGGTGGATGGGGGTGGGTGGGTTAAATAGGTGATGGTGATTAAGGAGTCGACTTGTTTTGATGAGCACCAGGTGTACATAAGTGATGAATCGTTATATCATATACCTGAAACAAATATTACATTGTATGTTAAGTGACTGGGATTTAAATAAAAACTTCTTAAAAGTTGACAAATTGGGGTCATATTTACAGTTCCCATTTTTAAATTTTGTTAGTCTACTATTTGTGAGGAGGATATGATGGATTTGAGCATCATGAGTCTGTTGGTTTCTCTAAGAATCCACTGTAAATATTTTATTAACTAAGTGGTATATGTAAGAATTTTCCAACTCTTCCTTTAAGTTATTTTTTATTTAAGCAAGAACTTTAAAAATTTTTTTAAACATTTATTCATTTTTGAGAGACAGAGAATGTGAGCGGAGTCGGGGCAGAGAGAGAGGGAGACACAAAATCAGAAGCAGGTTCCAGCCTCTGAACTGTCAGCACAGAGCCCAACATGGGGCTTGAACCCATGAACTGTGAGATCATGACCTAAGCTGAAGTCAGATTCTTAACTGACTCAGACACCCAGGCACTCCTCAGCAAGAACTTTTTAATGATGAAAGTAACTCATGAATAGATTCTCACTGTAAAAATTCAAATGATATCCTTAAGTTTTTTAAAAAATATTTTTTACTGCTATTTTCAAATTGGAAAACTAATACATATCATTACAACTGAAACGGTATTAAGATGAAATACCAGAAAATATTATCCCAAAGTTTCTTAAAATAATACTCTATCATGACTAAGTAGTGTATAGTCCAATAATTTTCTTTAAGCTTTAAAATCGTTGCCCTTAGATGTACAACAGTATATAAAGTTGAAAGTGATTTATATTAATTTTTACACATTTAAGGATGTTTACTTCAAGTTTTATAGCTTCTTTACTATTGTCATAGTTTTTTTCTATTTTTTCTTTTATTGTGTTAAAATACACATAACCTTTTCTGTCTTAACCATTTTTAAGTGTACAGTTCAGTGGTATTAAATACATTCATATTGTTGTGCAGCCATTACCACTGTCCATGCCCATATCTTTTCATCTTGTAAATCTGAAACTCTCTACCTATTAAATAATAACCCTTATTCTACCCTTTCCCAAGCCCCTGGCAACCATCATTATACTTTCTCTTTATGATTTTTACTACTCTAAGTACCTCATATAAGTGGATTCATACAGTATTTGTCTTTTTGTGACTTATTTCACTTAGCATAATGTCTTCAAGGTACATCAATGTTGTAGCATATTACAGAATTTCTTTCCTTTTTAAGACTGAATAATATTACATTGTATGAATATACTACATTTTGGTTATCCATTCATCATTTAATAGACTCTTGGATTGCTTCCATGTTTTAGTTATTGTGAATAATGCTGCTATCCCCATGAGGGTGCAAATATCTCTCAAGGCCCTTCTTTCAGTTCTTTTGTATTTATATACAAAGCTGGATTTCTGAATCATATGGCAATTCTATTTTTAATTTTTTGAGGAAATTTTGTTCTCTTTTCTACAATGACTTTACCATTTTACATTCCCACCAACAGTGCACATGGGTTCCAGTTTCTCTACATCCTTGCCAACACTGGTTATGTTTTAGTTTAGTTTTTTTTGTTTCTGTTTATGATAATAGCTATCCTAATGGATGCAAAATGGCCAGGCTAAATCTAACTGTATTTTTTAGGTTTATATATTTATTTTGAGAGAAAAAGAGTGCATACTAGTGGGGGATGGGGGCAGAAAGAGAGGGAGAGAGAGAGAATCCTAAGGAGGCTCCATGCTGACAGCACAGGGCTCAAACTTGTGAACTGTAAGATCATGACCTGAACTGAAATCAAGAGGCCATTGCTTAACCCACCTAGGCACATAGGTGCCCCCTAACTGCATTTTAAAATACTCCTGACATGTATCCAAAATATATAAAGAATTTGTCAACAAGCAACCCTGTTAAGAAATGGGCAGAAGACATGAATAGACACCTTTCCAAAGAAGACATCCAGATAGCTAACAGACACATGTAAAGATTCTCAACATCACTCATCATTAGGGAAATACAAATCAAAACTATGATGAGATACCACCTTACACCTCTCAAAATGGCTAAAATTAACAACACAAGAAATTATAGGTATTAGTGAGGGTGTGGAAAAAGGGGAAACTTGCACTGTTGGTGGGAATGCAAACTGGTGCAGCCACTCTGGAGAACATTATGGATTTCCTCAAATAAACTAAAAATAGAGTTACCCTATGATCCAGGAATGGCACTATTAGGTATTTACCCAACTGATTAGAAGGGGCATATGCACCCCAATATTTATAGCAGCATTATCTGCAATAGCCAAACTATGGGAAAAGTCCAAATGTCCATCAACTGGATGAATGGATATATATATAATGGAATATTACTCAGCCATCAAAAAGAATTAAATCTTGCCATTTGGAATGACATGGATGAAGCTAGAATGTATTATGCTAAGTGAAATAAATCAATCAGAGAAAGACAAATATCACATAACCTCACTCATGTGGAATTATGAAACAAAACAGACGAACGTATGGTAAGGGTGGGGAGGAGGAGAGAGGGAAACAAACCACAGAGAATCTTAATGATAAGAGAACAAAATGAGGGTTGATGGAGGGAGGGAGGTAGAAGATGGGTTAGATGGATGATGGGTATTAAGGAGGGCACTTGTGATGAGCACTGGGTGTTAAATGTAAGTGATGCATCACTGAATTCTCCTGAAACCAATATTGCACTGTATATTAACTAAAATGTAAATTTTTTGGCTTTGTGGTACCTGGGTGGCTCAGTGGGTTAAGCATCCAACTTCAGCTCAGGTCATGATCCTGCAGTTTGGGAGTTTGAGCCCTGCACTGAGCACTGTGCTGACAGCTCAGAGCCTGGAGCCTGCTTCTGATTCTGTGTCTCCCTCTCTCTCTGCCCCTTCCTGACTTATGCTCTGTCTCTCTCTCAAAAATAAATAAACATTAAAAAAACTTAAAAAACTTTTTTGTCTTGAAATTTAGTTATTTATGTATATATGTTTATACATTACATAATAAGCTGTAATTTCAAGTGTAAGAACCTTCTTTGTATTTCTTCAGCTGTACTATGCATATACTATCCACTCAGATAATTTTGTCTAAAT